TTCCASGGATCCAGGGGCAGCCACAGCTTCTCTGGGYACCCTGTGCCAGGCCCTCACTGCCCTCACAGAGAAGAACCTCTTCCTAACATGATCTAAAAATCCCCTCTTTTGRTTTCAAGCTGTTTCCTCTTGTCCCATCTAGCACCCAGGGATCCAACAGGACATTGCAACGTTTTCAGTTTAAATACTAATCATTCCTGCATCCCAAATGCAGCTCAGTGAGCAGGGTTTTCAGGCCCCTACGTATCAAAAAGATATCTGATGGCCCAAGTGCATTCTGTAATGCTGGGGAAGTCATAACAAATTCCCCCAGGACAAGCTGTCAYAGGAATATTTATCTTGGAAAGCTCRTTATGGGTGAAAGTTCGGTACCTTCTCCTCAAATGCTGATTTTCCCAAATCGTAGTATGGATTCAGTAAGGATCAGAAGTGAGGCTGGTAAGGCTTACTGAGCCTGAGGTTCATTTTGTGCATATTACATATTATTATAAGCTATCCGTGAGATGATATACTGAATAATTGGTCAGTTAACATCACTTTATTCACCACAAACTGGGATCAGATGTCACAGTGTTAGGAAATCCAGGATCCCAGGAAAACTGCATGGTGGGATGGTGTCATGGGATCCRTGAATCATTTTCCTTCTGGGAAATTCAGGATGAACTGCCGGTACAATCGCTGAGTCTGTGCTCAATCTTGTCATTTGTATGCTGGTATGATTACCTTTCCCTCTCTAAYAGCAGAAAATCAGACCCCAAGGTTCTGTTTGGACAGCATAATTAACAAAAAGAATAGCTCCATTACCAGCTTGTTCTGGAAACCAGACTCTGGGGTGCATTAGTGGCACAGAGATTATCTTCCTGCAGGAATGAACACATACCAACGTGAGCTGCAGGCTAAACCCAGACCTTGAACGAGGGCTCCAGCAGCACACTGCTATCTGTTTGTTATCTGGGAACACCCTGGGGCTGCCTACAGCTGCCCCAAAGCCATCCTGTCAACAGAAGATGGACCAGRCTGCTCAGGCCAGCGCTGATTTCTGGAGAATGAAAAGGAATGGTTCCATCAGGAGGTGCTGCTGGGCCGTGAGGTGTTAACTCATTCTGATCCTTTCCTTACACTCCTGCTCAGTGCTCTTCTACAACACAAAATGTTCCCTTACAAAACTGCAAGAGCCCTGGAAACTGCCAGCTGTGGGAAAAAAGAACCAGAGATCACCACAGCTTACTCCTGTAACAGAAATTTTGACCGTTCCTGTCTAAACTTACAGCAGCCTTGTAGATCCGGAGAAAGATGYTGGAAATCAGATTAAATTCCATCTTTTGAGACTCCATCCATCATCATTCTGGTTTAGAAGCCCGCAAATTATGGCAATGAACAAAAAGACTTTGCCAAAAATGTCCATGTAGAAAATGGGAGTAACAGTTCTAATGCAGCTTTTTCTGCTTTAGTGYTCTCTCTACCTCTTTACCTGGAAAATGGCTGTATTACCTGGAAAAAAATATTTTTGTGCTCTGCTGCTCGAGGGGGAAAGAGCTAATTAAATTTGTAAAAGTGGAAAATAATGTTAAGAGGTCTTCATAGGCCTGTGGTTGTGACTGCTGKTGTCAGCTTTACTGCCAATATGTGCAGATGGCAATGAATGAGCTACCATCAACCTTCCTTTATTGTCCTAGGGCCTCACTCAGCTCGTAAATGTCTCCACTGGTTATTATTTCCAGTTATTTAGTGTTCAGTTGGCGAGTGCAGTTACTCCCATTGCTGCTGCACCCCAAACCACCAGAGCAGGGTAAGAAATGGCAGCTTTTCAACCCAACCCAGCTCAGAGAGGCTGCAGAGGACACGCTGCGGCAGCCACACGTGAACCAACATCAGTACTGAAACCAAACCTCCCCAGCTGAGCTCCTTGTACACAAATACGACTTTCTAGCAACAGYCTGAGCCCCTGGGACATGTAGAGCACCCAGCCAAGGCCAGGAACAGCCCCAGGGGTGACAGTGTGCAGGGCTGAGCAGGGTGATGGAAGGTGGTGGMTCTCCCAGTGGGGCTCCAGGACTTTTGGATAATGCATTTAGGCTTTCCACAGAACACGCTGTACAGAATTTTGCATAACATTTCTTCTCACAAACAAGAAAGTAATAGTCTTTCCAGAACAGGAATATAAATGACAGCATTTGAAGCTGTGGGCAAGAGCAGGGTTCACTCTCTGATTTCCCAGCCTGACGCTAGCGCTGGGCTCAGTTCTTCAGTTGTCCATAGAAACACTTCCTCTGCCTCTTTCAGCCTGCAAGCACTGTGGTGCCTTCTGGAAACCACAAACAACCGCTCTGTGCTGTCACTCACTCTTCCTTCRTGCCAGTGGGTTCTTCTTTCAGCTGCACTCGTATTTCTGTGTGCTGCTCTGCCTTGCACCTCATCCCCAGCCAAGAGCAGCAGTTCCTCTCCTCTGCCAGGCTGGTGCAGATCGGGGTCCAAACTTTCCATCTCCATTTTGCAAACCCACTTGCAGCAGCTCTGGCAGAATATTTTCRTGCCCATTAAGCCATGGCTGTGCATGATTCTCTGGCCAGCCAATGCTCTCCCCTGAAGCAGCCTCCAAAGTTCCTATGGAACCCCAAGGCTAGTTTCCCAATGACTGGAGACTCCAAGGAATACCAGCCTTTTCCAGTTCTCGTCAAGGCAGAAAGAGTTTCTCTCTTRGTGTCTGATTCTCCTAAACACGTTCAAGTTTTCCTACTGGAGCTTGCTAATTTCCAAGCAGAGTTGCCTATAAAAATTTCCCTCAATTTGAACACATTTTCCCTTGTATTGGAGCTATGGAAACAGTCGAAGGCTGCCAGCTTTCCTGGCTCACCTTTCCAGGAAGGCTGAAAATTCATGTTTCCTGGGACTACAATTCCCAGAAGACAATTTCTCTTTCCCCAAAACAGGAACCAAGGATCACTGGGTCTGTTGCATCTTTYTAAAGGCTTCCTTCTCCCATGACCAAGGAAGAGACCAGCCCTTCTGGAGCAAACTGGGAGCAGGAGGGGAATGTGGTGGGGGGCAAGAAATCCTTCTCAGCACAGCTCCTGCCTGGTCACAGCTCTGCACAGTCAGGGGAGAGCATCTGAGGTCAATGCCTGAAGGCACTGCTTCCACTTTCACAGAGCTACAGCATCCCAAGCAAAAGTGGTGTTTAAAGGGCTGGCTGGCGTTAAGTGTTTTAGRGACTGCGTGAGAATGTTAGAAATGCCCTCCTCAGCTGTGTGTCTCCACTGAAGTAATATTTCAGCATGTCTGTTCTTAAGGGACCACAAAATCCTCCTCTGTAGCCTCTGATCAGACACGTTYGTGGTTGCTGCTGGAACGGCRATGCCAAAAGCCCCACTGGCTTCCWCCTCCCAGGGGAACAGTCTTAGGAAAGATTTTTAAAGGAAGGACTGAACTCMGTGGCCCTAAGCAATCTCCGTACTGTTCCATGTGATGTGACTCAGCACTCGGTCACTTAACAACTCTTAGTGTTCCTAATTAAAACCAGCCTTTGCCCAGACTATCATTGTGTCCCTCTCCTTCAGCAAACTCATTAATAGCTACACCACCCTAAACAACCCTATTTGAATGAGGAGGGGGGGTCTGTAATCTCCTGAAGGAATCTCTGTGTTTGCAATCAGAAGGCAAAGGTGTTYCTTTTATGACATTCTTCTCAAGTCTGCTTTTCAAAAGACTGGAAGCTCATGACTTTGTCTGGAGTCACAAGGAGCCTCCCAAAAATCAGTGGAATGTGCCACTGGCAGGCTGAAGGTCCCAGGTTGGTTTTTGCAGTGCAGAAAGTTTAGGCTGGGGTTTCAGCAAGCCACAGGAGTTGGGTAACGAGCCAGCATCGTGTGTCCAGTGTTTTAAAAATGTAGTGCGATTTGGGGTGAAAACACGAAGAAATCAGTCATGGTGTTTCACAAGGAGGACGCTTCTCCCATGTGCGCAGGGTGGGATGACTCAACTGCTCACTGATAGCAAATTTGCTGAAACAAATAGTGACCTTCAAACRGTGCTCTGATGATAATATAAATACCAACCTGGATACAATAAACCTAACCCTTCCCCTCCCCTACTTTGTTTCTTTGTTTCTCACTCGGATCTCTCCCAGGGGCTCTCAGCATCCCTTCTCAGCCTTACTGAAGCTTCAGGAGAGCTTTGCTCTGTGGGCTCAGCCCAACAAAAGAAAAAGGAAATGGAAAAGAAAAACCATTCAGAATAAAGATGAGACAACTTTCCRAAAACYTAGAATGAAGCACTTMTGAAGAGTTTATAAGAAATARCCCCACTTGACACCTGTTTGCACAAAAATCAGTGTTTGCACACCCAAAAGTGCCACAGTTGTCTTGCTCAGTGATCGTGGAGTGTGCTGCCTCCCCAATGCTGTGAGCACCTGGCTCCCCTGGGACCAGACAGGCAGCAGACACAGCAGAAGAAAAGCAGAGCCATGCTGTCAAGATATTTTAGCAAATTTGAAATACCCGAGTGGTTTCACAGCAGAGGAGCACGCTGTACCCGGGCTGGGTGTTCTGAGCCAGCGCTCACAATCCTGAAGCACCATTTCCTCAGCATTCACTGTGCTGTGCCTCACTTCCCTGCCTCTATTCACCCACTTTTAAAGTAGAGTGAATGCCCTCACAGCACAGATCTATCAAAAGTGATGAAGTGTGGCCGACCAGCATCCTAGCTTTGCCTGGTTTTCTGAAAACTGCAGGAAATTTTTCCTTTCCATTTAATAAGCTTTGATGCAGGAATATCACACAATTTTTTTTTTCCTGAGACAAAAAGTCCCTTCTTCCTACATTTAAAACAATAATAATTGAACTAGTTATTAAAAAAAAAAAGAAGAATAAAAAGGCCGTGAACCACTTGCTGTTTAGTCCTTCCGTGTAACACCAGAGTGACGTTGGAAAGAGGAAGCGCCGCGGAGCTGGAGCTGCGCCGGGCGATCCCACGCTGCTGCTGGCGTGTCCTCACCTGCTTCTCTCTCCACTTCACCCACTCGTGGGGCATCTGCCTCCCACAGCAGTGGTGCTGCCTCAGGGCTGCTCTCTGAAGGGCTGCAGAAAGACTATATCCACTGGGATCTCACTGTTTTCCACGGATTAATGCCCAAGCACAGCGTTCACATCATTCCTGGGGCTCTGGAGGCAATTCAGTTCAGATCCAGGTAAGTGCTGGCTGGTTGGAGCAGGAGTTAGCCAAGGCTGGCTCCGTGGGGTACTCATTGATGGCATAATTAATTTTGGGAGTTCCAAAAACAGCGGGAGAAGGTGATGTGAAGTTGTCCTGTCTCGCTGGCTTGATTTCATTGCTCACTCCAAAGCGTAGTTTTGCTTTAAATGCATGAGGAATGGCGCTGCCAGGAGATAAGGATGTTTGGATGTGGGATGGGCAGTTTGCTCATGGCAGACCTGGGTTTCTTAAGTCAATACCAAACGTTGACATGCAGCTCTGAATCACACCCAGCAGCAGCCTCTGCTCCCCTAAACCTGCCTGGAGATGTTTGGTTATGGGGATAACCCAAACAYTTGAAAACAGGTATCTTCAGAAGCAGCTTTTCAGTTAGACATGAATGCAAATTCCAAGTAAATGCTGGGCATTTGCATAAGGACCTGTCTCGAGAGATGCCAGGAATGGTGAGGTGACCCCCCCAAATAAATGCCAGCCCTTGTATGAGCACAGAAATCTTTGCTGACCTCAGGTGGAAACTGAGGGATGTGGAGCAGATGYCAACCAAACCCCTCAAATTCATGTCAGGAGAGCCAGAAAATTCCAGCAGTGACTTTCCTTTGCCTTCTCTGAAATAACTGGGTATCCAGGTATGCATTAGGGACTTTGAAAGTTAAAAATCAAAGGCAGTTAAAAAATCAAGTAAAAGCTAAGCAGCCCATTTCTGGGTGTGCGTTACCAGCTGCTGTACGCGATCCTTACAATTAAATTGCTGAAGAACCGGTTCTGGATCAGGTTCTTGTTCCCTCAGTAAGTGTGACAGAGGGTAAAATGGGAATCTGGCACTTCAGGGCCACTTTCATTTGAAGGTTTTAATAAAGACTGACACCTCTGAGGCTGCGTGCCACTGGCTGCACAGTTTGTTACTGTTCTTCATGTATTTGTTAATAAYTGTCAGAAATCTACAGTGGAACACCGATTGCCAGCTGAGGGGGTGCAAAAATTGGGTGAAATGCAAAAATTGTCATGGTTTTTTCTTCAAYATTTTCCTGTTTTAAGAGGAACTGATGGGTTAGCAGGGTAAATGGGCGTTGCAAACACCTTGGTAAATACCCTCCTGCTCCACAGGCTGATCCCAGCCCCACTTGTGTCCAGTGACTGCCTTCAAAAAGTCTTCCACRTGAAGGAGACCCATCCCATGCTGTACACTCGGGTATTTTATCTGCCCAGCATKCTAAGATTTGTAATGCTTGCTCTTCCCAGATTTATGGATGGAATTAAAGGAAGGTGAGAATATACTCCCAGCTGTGTTCTTCTGAGGGCTGTGCAGCTCCTGTGCTGGTGAGTACACACAGAAATGATTGACTGGACTCTAGTGGGGCTTCATATGTCRGGTTCTGCCTTTCTTTAACTGTTTTGTGGATTTTATTTTTCACTTGATCTTCCTTTTTCAGTTTGTACCYTATGGCAAAGCCTGGTTTTACATGTTTTACTTGAGCTGTGCAAAACAACTGGAAGTTGGGGGCAAAAAAGAGGAATAGAGAATTATGTTACTGGTTTTAGTGGAGAGCCTGAGCAAAGTGGGAGCAGAGTGCAGGGAACTGGGACTGATGGCAGCTTTGAGTTTGGTCTAAACTCTGGAAAGGCAGCATCCAGCATTTSTGATTGCCTTTTTTGCATGTGTTCTTGGCAAATAGTAAAATGACTTTGCTGAGACTAGCTTTATGCTTCCTGATGGATTTGCAGCAGGAAAAATAAAACCTTTCTTCGTGGGCCTTGGGGGGTAGGACAGTCCATGTTTGCTTCACTGCATTGTGTGGTGCCATGGGGTGTCGTGCCCAGTGGGTTTTTCCAGCTCATGGCGTGTTACAAGTCTCATGACTCATTCAAGCCCATTTTTTTCCCCTATTGCAATCCATCCCATGGACCACAACATAAAAACCTTTTTTCCTGTGTCCTCCCTCCCCTGGACTCCCAGTGAGACAGCGTGTGCAGCCTTGTGGGAGCCAGGGTGGTGACCAGAGGGGACAGAGCCATCCTGGATGCTAAAACAGCCCCAGCACGGGGACTTCAGCAGAAGCACTGAGCATGTGAAGGAGCTGCCTCTGGCTCTCCAAACTCCTCTGAGTGAGTCAACTTCTGATTCACAGGAGTCAGCAGCTGCAGGGACACTAAAGCAATGATAACCACGGTGATAGATTGGCTCTGCATCACCAGGAGGACCAAGTGCAGCTTTCTAACAAAATTCTGAATAGGAAAGAATTGAAAGTTATAGCTCAGATAAAAAAAAACAAAAACAAAA